TAATTTTCATTTCCTAAACTTCATTTAGGAGTCAACTTTTTTTTTTTTTGAGAACATTTTCCCTAATACTTGTTTTTCCACAGAAAACTATTCTCTGCCTGTGAGTAAAAGTACCATACTCACACCTACTACATGTAGAGGAATTATTCAGGGGAGCCATTTTAAAAATTATGGCGTTTTTTGTTTTGTTTTATAACTGAAGACGTAAAGTTGTAGAGAAATCTACAAGTAATATTATTTGAAAAGTGTTAACTTCATATGAGTTATAAATAGCTACATTTTCTAAGAATAAAGTGATACTTAAGTAATAAGATTATTCCACTAACAAAGGCTGTACTAAAGCAGCAGGGCCATTCCTAGATCAGCTTTCCTTATTCTGCATTTCACTTCTCCAGCAGGACCCTGGGTGTTACCATACCCACCCTGGAAACACCTTTGAAAGCTGAGCAACGCAAGAACTCCACAGCAAGAATATGGACACAAGCTGAGCTGTGCCATGGGCACACAGCACCCAGACCCTGCTCAGCTGTTCGGACTCGGAGTGAAAGGATACGTAATGGGGCTAGATTCTATCCCACCACACACTCACCACCAAAAAGCAGCTCCCACAGTAAGCGCCAAGGAAGAAAGCAGCATCAGAGCAATTAACTTTAATACAGTGGCACTACGGGATGGTCCAGCTTCAGAGAGAACATCTCTGTCTTAAATGATAGGGTTTCCACAACATAGCTGTTAAAAACCTGCCATTCTAAAATATTAAGAGGATCACTGTTACTGGAGCTTTAGCCCTTCCCTACCAGGTAAATTTAAGAGATTAGAATACTAACTAATCTCAATCAAGCTCTAGCTGTTATCTTGAATTTCTTTTTAGATGGTAATGCAGTTCTCAGGAAGTTACAGTAACCTGGCTGGAGCTACCAACAAGGGTGGGTGTCAAATCCCACTTGGAAGTTCTCGCTGTTACACGCAGAAGGAGCAGCTCACCGCTGTGATGCGCACACTGCGACTGAGCAATACTCTTGTAAATAAAAAAAGTACCTTCAGAAAAAGTAAAGATATACTTAGGAGGGGAGAAGGGCATCAGACCCACTTGTAATAAGAATCTGAAAGTAGACAGGAAGACCTTAAGAGTTCAAGCTTCAAGACAGCACTGACTTTCAAATGCATTGTACTGCCTTAACTGACAGGCTTAACCAGCATCTAACACGTGCAAGTACTGGTAATTGCACAAGACTAACTGCTTTTAGTCAGAGGATCTTGCACATCTCTTCCCACACACAACTAAACAGATCACTAATTTTGTAATCTGTACAGACAAAACATCCTCCCTTGCATCTACCTCATGGTATGTAATGTTAGGAATGGAACACAAGACCAAGTGCTAAATAATAAACAAAAAAATTCTGTCAAACCTAATGAACAAAGTATACTGTACTTCCTCCAACAGTGATTTGCAAATGAAAATGATCTTTTAAGGATTAAAAAAACCCTGTTGTTTTTCAGTGCTATATAATTTTTATTAAATTTATATTACTTCCCTTTCAGAAGTGCCATGTTACTCTAGACTTCCAGTTCACTTCTGTTTTTCTTCTCCAGAGAGGATGGAGAGAAATCAAGACACTTTATTTACCAAGAGCATGGATACTGTAAGTTGTGTTTCATATAATATCCTTTGTTCAGATATAACTACACACAGAAATTTACTTCAAAATTAGTTTATCTAAATGCTAATATAGCATCTACCAGCTACAGATTATGTTTATCACTTCAAGAACATATTTCAGTTACAGATTAAAAGTAGCAGAGAAAAAGCAAGTGGAACCCAAGGCTACATCAAAAATTCCAATAGTTTTCCACATTTCTTGGTTGGTTTGTCCCTACATCAGTGTTCCCAAAGATTTGATCTGAAATTAAGGAGTGAACTAAGTCTCTTACCATATGAAGTCTCTTACTTCTCCTTTCCTTCTACTGTCAGAAGGCTTACTGCCAGGTACCTCTGTGGTGCACTATACGTACATCTCCAAGTGAAATATCAACCACTGCTTTCCAGGGGGTTTTGCCTGAGTAGAACAAAGAAAGATTCACTTTCCCTTTCTCCTGCTTATGAAGTGTAGACAACGTGACTGCTTTTGACTACTGCAGTCAAAGTCATCTTCTGAAATGCAATGGCTAGTTGTATGTAGAAAAGTGAACAAGAGCTGGAGCAGGACTAAAACATCATCGAGTTGCTTTTCACAAGTATTTGCCTACATGCAAGTCACACTTGTCCCAGGAAGTCAAAGGACACTTGAGACAGCCACAATCTTGGTCCAGAACCAGGGACATAAAGAGGACTCGAGATCCAAGCGTTCATCTAATTCTTGCAGTAGCTAATAGTATGATGCAACAAAAACTAGGAGGCAGAAAAAAAAAACTGAGGCAATTTAAGTGTAATAAAACATTAAGTCAAACAACAATCTTTAGCTTTCACACCAAGTTTAATCTCAAGATCCTTCCAATTTGCACAAAGCCTGAACTTAAAATATATATATATACACACTTCAAGCAGACAAAAAAAGCTGACCCTGCAGTTTCAATAAGCAAATGTCTGCTGTGCTCTGTGAGCAATAATTTGGCATTCCTTAGTAACATCACCACTGGATTAGTCAGAAATGACAGCTAGGCATCAACTATGTTTTAGAGAAATACAGAAAATCCATTAATAATTTAATTCAGTATTTTTGTAATATCCCAGAATGAGACTTCTCTATTAGGATGTGGAAAAACTTGATGGGGTAGAAATCCTGACAATGTAGCTACAGACAAAACAGCTCTAATACAATTTACTTCAAAACAATATTCACAGGTGCATATTACACAACATAAGTGTAAATAAAGAACTCTGTGCATTTAAGTGTTTAATGAGTTTAGAGAGAACTACCTATATGCAGTCCAAGACAAGATTCAGCCTTTAATGATACTGAATTCAAGTTTATGAAGAACAATTTTCAGTTTAACTTCAGAACAGAAATTAGGTTGAAAGAAGACTAATCAAGATAAGACACAGTTTTTCAAGTAAAATTAAAGCTTACTTCAACTTCAGTACCATTAAAGTTACAAGCATTTCAAATGTAAGTTTGCAGAAAAGACTCACAATGCAATCACCATTCCATAAAATTATGTGCATTCAACTGCGAAATAAAAGCAAAAAATAAAACTTTGCAGCACACAGTGGTATAAAACAAAAACAGAACAGAAATTTTAGCTTCCAACTTTGAAACCCTTAAGTTACATACTTATTTCACAATAACAATCCAAGCATACAAATACAGGTACTTAAACAGCAGAATTTCTACAAAGCAACTTTCATTTTTAAGCTGATGAATACACTTGCTCTTCCAAAAAAGGAACTGCAGCAACCTGGTATACATACAAATGAAGTGGCACATGTCAGAGATTTAGTGGTCCAATAGTTTTTTCATTTCAGTGAATCCATCTGGATTCCCGTACTTGTTTAAAAGGAAGAGTAGGATCTGTTCATGTTTTTTAAGCTGTGGAATAAGCAGAAAGAATTAGATATACGATTTTTTTTTTTAATTCCTGATTTCAGATTAGGGTAGATCCTAAAGCTACAAACTCAGCTAAGTCCCACATTAGTTCAATGAATATACAGTCTCCTTTCTGCTGTAAAACCTTCTGGAGGGGGGAAAAGTCAGAATTGTAGCTAACTTCCTCCTGCTCCCCTCTTTTTTTCCTTCCCTGAAGAAGTAGCTTCCTCGAACCAAACTGATGAATCACTCAAGTTAGGACTGAGATCAGGATCTTAAGTTTGGTTAGTCACACATGTCTATTTCCTGATGTTTTCAGTCATATTGGAATCTTCTGCCTTCTTTTCATCTGTCATAAGACTTTGAGCCAAGCTTATCCAAGTAAGGAAGAATAACAGAAAACGGAAAGTGATGAAATTGAAGTCAGAAAAGACATTAGCTAGATCAAAATGTAAGATGAAAGATTTAGAGTGGGAAGGGAAAAGGAGGTTCAACAGCCTACAGTGGGACAGAGGAATCAACTACATTCAGGAACAGTATAGTGTCACTGCCTTTCTGCCACTAAACTCCCAGTAACTACACTTACTCTGAAGCAGTAAAGGTCTAAATGACCTTGAACAGAAATGCTCCTCTCCTACCTCCAAAATATCAAAATGCATATTTTTGCTTCTGACCTTGCTGCCTCTGGCTGGGGGGAGACGGGCAAGTGTGAACCACCCTTGAAAGAGGTTTCTGTCTAAAATTCAACATTTTGCTCATTCCTCTGACAAAGATCTTCACTTTGAGGAAGGCTGGCGCATCTTTTCTGGTACACTTCAAGTTACTTTTAGTAATCTAAAGTTCTAATTTTTCATAAATAGTCTAAGCTAAAATAAAAAAAGAGAAAGCTTAAAACCAGAAAGCTTTCAAAAATTACAGGAATATGCTGTATCTGTAAGAGACACTTTTTTTTTTTCCCCCAAAAGGAAGAAAAAAAACCTTGCAACTGGCAAACACTGTTACAAATTCCAATACTCTACCAAACTCAAGATTCTCAGCCCCTAGCTCCATGACTGAAACTATGGCACACATTAATATTAATCTTTGCTACCCGAAACACACATTGTAAGAATTTTCTTACATGTGCAGCTGTCTGCCAAGGTATACCCACAGCAAAACACAGCCATATTACTGAAAAAAAAAAATCTGCTGCCCTTTGTCCAAATGACACAGTTTATGCAAAACATCACAACTACCTTTACACAACAGATAAAAGTAACACCCCTGAGACTTCATACTCTAGGGAAAAAAAAAAAAAAAAAAAGAGCACTGTATGTGTAGCAAAACATAGACTAATGAAGCCTGTGTGATCTATACACTTTGCTCCCGCATTTTCAAGGTGCTCTATTTATTACCACGTATAAAACAAACTTAGAAAAAGTGTTGGGATATTCACTTTGCATATCTTCAATGTTTCAGTTAGCTATCATCTCCCTACTCCCATTTGCTTCCCATACAGAGTTTCTTTGAAATTCTGGAAACACTAAAAAAGCGTGTATTGTTTGGGATGAATCTTACTTGCATTTTTAATTCTGTGCAGCAGCATTTGGTCTCACCTCCATTGCCTACAAAACACAAAGCAAGTGAATGAGCAAAATACACGTGGACACTGCTTCCCTAATTTAAGAGGTGGTAATGTGGAATTCTCTAAGATTTTTAGAAAGAAAAGTCACTTAAGCATCTCATGTACCCACAGTTCTTCAAATTAAGTAATCTGAAGTAATTAAGGGAAAGTATGTACCTTGATGTTCAGTACGTAAGTTTTCAGCACTGCAGGATTTGACCAAGCCTTCCATTACCAGTTTGTCAGCTATATTCAGACTACCATTTTCACAGAGTTTTTCCACTGTTACTAAGTTAACATCTCCATTAATCCCTTTCACTGTAATTGTGACACATTTATTCAATAACATTTCTTTCAACTTGTCAACTAATAACGGAGACCATTCAGCTTTCTCTATTCCTGCAAAAAAACCCAAAAGTACAATCAAGTTTGTTCTACAAAGAATTCCTTTATGATATTACTTCAATCTTACACATGCTATCACTGTTTTTGAAAATATGCTAGTTTTTCCTAACATAAATAGCTTAGATTCTACAGAAAATTAACTAAAAGCATACTTTCTAAAACAGCTTTTGCAGTACTAACCAGTATACTATTTCAGCAGATCATCATGTTGCTTATCAGTATTAAGGAATGAACACTATCATCAAAATAGGTACAGATTTATAATGTTCAAGGAAACCTGCTATGGTAGTGGGTGTTTTTTTGTTTTGTGGTTTTGTTTGTTTGTTTGTTTTTTTACCTGCAAGTGAACATACAATTGTCTGAAAAGGCAGCTTCAAGTAGGAATCAGTGATGGGCAGCACCTTTGAAAGTGGTAAAGTTTCTGTGTTCCCATAGTCCGCATATAGTACTTTCACTACAGACTGAGAAGCTTTTACAACAAGAGCTCTGTACCAACGGCCATCACCTGAAAAGATTGGGACAAGAAGAATCACATGTGAAGTACCATCTTATAAACACAGCTTACCCCAAGAACAAGAATCTGTTTAGTTTTCCAAGAATCTTTAAATATTCTGCTATATACAAAAGGCCGCTTGACAAGAAGCAAGACCATAGAATAAGGGAATAATTTCCGATTGCTGTGTTCATAAAGAAGTAGGTGTTGCTTTCTGCTCAAATTATACAGGCAAGATTTTTACTATAATACTGTTTTAAGGATATCTGCACACTGTATTTCTAGCTCCTCACCTTTGCTTTCCAATGCTTATTCCCTCTGAAAACATAACCAGAATTACAATGAAAAAAAAATTATCCTTTTTCCTCAATTGTCAAGACTCATAAACAAAATCAGTGGAAGTTAAAACCAACTGTCAAACACTTAGGTATACTCTTGTGGTCTGCCTAGTATTTTTTTAATTCATCTATCCTATCTTCCATGAGCTGCTATCTGATCTAGCACCCAAGTTCATTTTCAGCACTTAGATCTCTTGTAACAATCCACACATAGTCAACATTTAACGTTTATGAGTCAACAGAACTTTTTTTTTAAATATTGAGCTAATGTACCAGCAAAGTATCCCCTCTTCTGAAAGACTAAGACAATAAATTAAGTTCCCTCACTGTTAAGAAGACTTTTGCCTTGAACTAACAGCTCACTAAGCCTGGAGAGTCTGTTAGGCTAACGAGGCCAAATGATCAGTTGTCATAGCCAATGTCACCACCCCATGCTTGCACAAAGCGACAACAACAAAACACCCATGCACCCACAAAACAGAAGTGGGTCTGTATAGATGCAAGTGCACTATTGCTCTATCATGAATTTCATGCCCCCATGACTCAAACACAAACAAAATTCAGTTTAAACAGTAACTAGCTTGCTTTCCTCTTAAAGCTCCATACGTTTCTCAGGGCACAACCTATTCCTCATTTTCTCTCCTGGACTGTCAAATGGTATCTCTGCCCTAAAGATGCAGCCAGGCTATCCTTTGTAGCAGAATCAAGAGATCTGTGAGCACTTTGAGAGAAAGAAAACCTGCCAGCTTTAAAGCAAAATGGAAAACTTGTGTTTTACACTGGTTGAGGAAATATAAGAACAAATGATTGCCTCACCTGAAAACCTGGCACAACAGGCTTCACCCAGTTTTGGTTTGAAGGGTTGGTTCTTACAAGATTTACAATAGCGTTCTAGTTCAATCAACTGCCTATGTAGCTTCTCTTGATCTGCAGAAAAAACATTTGATAACTAACCACATTTGGGTCTAATGAAGAATATACATGCTTTTAAGCTCCCCTGCTCCCACCTTTGGCATTTTTTATATTTTCCTACTGTTCAAGCTACATTTCCACATGATCCAGTTCACTATACGCATTCATTTTATTAACGAGCTTGCAACAGTGACTTCTTACTAATACTAGGAACAGTGAACACTTTTTCCTACCTTTACTTTGAACTGGTACAGCATAGAACAAGTCCGGGCTTACAACTTCAGTTACACAGACAGGTATGGTTTCATCTATAGCCAATTCAATTGACTTCCAGTGCCTAAGTGAGATTTCTAACACAAATAGTAAGAAAACGCAGTGTACCACTTTCCAAATTGCAAATTTGCTGTTCATGAACTATTGACATATAAAAGTAGCTAAAGTAAAAAAAAAACCAAACCCAAACTCAGAAAAATAAGATACTGGAAAGTAAATGTGGGAAGAGTTTCATCATAGCAAATCTGCAATTCTCTGCTATCAAATATTCAAATAGCATTCATTTAAGACAAACCCAGCGATTTTTATCTTTCTCTTTTTGTCTATAATGCCACCTGCAGGGCAGCTTGTGTTTAACTGTAAAAACAGACAATATAATCAAAACTATGCACGTTTATTATTGATATTAAATACAGTTAAACAGCAAGATCACAGTTAAAGGATGGAATACTGGAAATTCTTGTTCAATATAAAAGTTAACATTTTTTTAATTACCTTTTTTGTCCACAGACTTGTTTGGAAAGTTATTTTTCTCTTGTAGAACTTCCTTTACAGCCAATTTCTCAGAAGTTAATATCTCATTGATCACTCTTGGGTGACCTGTGGAATTGTCAATAAGCTCTACACCTGCCCCATCTCTGGAAATAGAAGTTACTCTGGCTTGAAGCTTTATCCCTGCAGTGTACATACAAAATCTCGCTGTAGCTTCTGGAATCCATTTACTATTACCAGGCTTTATACCTAGGAAAGAGGAGAACTGTTCAAAATACCTCCATTAAGTGACTTTCTTCAACATTGTATTTCTGAAAAAAAAAAATATTCCATTTTTTTTAAAGCACAACTTGAAATACCAAGGCTGGTTTTACTACCTTAGGGATACACATTGTACTTCACCCTGTTAACTAGTCTCTTTCCTTTCTTCTAAAAGCACGTATTTCCTCTGGACTCTCAATTTCTGTTTTCTATGTTTTACGGTATTCTACCAAGTAAATCCTTGTGCCTTAGCACAAACACCACTGTTAAAACTGTTTATGAATCAGTTTAATATAGCCTTTTTATCAAAGCAGCAGAAAAACAAAGTGGTTTAAGAGAAAAAAAAAAACAGCAGAAAACACCTTAATGAAATGTGGTTTTGAGCTTTTTCCTGTTTCTACGTTTTTTATTTTTAAACCAAGTAGACTACACTAGAAAGAAAGAATAATTCTGTAGAATTTTGAGTGATTTGGTGGGAAAAGGAAGAGGCATAGAATTGGTAGAAGGCTGAGAAACAGCAGTATGGTGCAAAACTCTGCAGGAATCAAATTAAGTAACCCTACAGAGAACTGAAAAGCCAACTGGCTTCATAAGAACAGATGAGCTCCTTCGCCTGCAAAAATTTTGAGAAATTATTAAGTTGCACAAAAGCACATTTACTCCTAGCAAGGCAGCAGCCAGAAGCTAGTAAGCACTACAGATGAAGCAGGAGTAACAAGTTCCCTTTGACTGGCAAATCGTTAAGTAACCTCCACACAGATCACTCCACAGCACTATCAGGAGCTCAGGGAAGAACCACCACCTTTCCGTTAAATGCCAGTCTTCTGTGTAGTAAGGCTAAAGCAACAGCTCCCACAATTTCCAGAGGCTGGAAGCAACACAGACGCTTATTATAACCCCCCCCCCCCAAAAAAAAAATTTAAAACCCCCAAACAACAACAGGTCTGTTAAGTATACCCTGTCATCATCTCCTTCCCCCAAAGCAGCAAGTCTCTAAATGCAATAGCTCTTATAAGAGAAAGAATCCATAACAAGATCCACCTGAGAGCCAGCATTTAATTCCTTGAAACGGAAGCTTTAGGAATGAGGATGAGATCTGCCGTATTTTATCCAGTGGTACTTCCTCAACATTTCCATAGTCCACAAAGCATACTTCAACAGTTCCATCTGAAGTAGTATGTTGCACCAAAGCACGGTACCAGTTACCATCACCTAATTTTAAAAAAGGTTACAAAAAAAAATTACTTCACACATTTAGTAAGTTTACCAGCATTTATTTCTTAGTAAATAAATCCAATTCTTTGCTACCCTCTGCCAATGCAAAGTATCAGCTATCTAAGTTTGGCTGGGTGGGGTTTGTTTTTTGAGTTTTTTTGTTTGTTTTTTTTCTTTATGTTCACCCTGTGAAACCAAAAATATTTTAGTTTGATACTTACCAGAGAAAAAAGCACAGCAAGGTTCTCCATTCTCAGGTTTAAGAATATTTGGTGGAGTTTTCTGACAGTATTCAGACAACGATTTGTTAAGTAAGTTTAGAGCAAGCAATTCTGAAAATTTGAAAGAAAAAAAGTTGAGATCAATGAAATATGCTGACCTGAATTTTATCAATACTGTTTGCTGTATAGCTTGTTTATATATTCATAGAATAATTATGGTTGGAAGAGAC